ACACGAAATTTTGATCCCAACAGTACCCCTCCCAAAACTCTGAACTTTAAGCCCAGTACGCCTAAGCATGGCCCATTCGGCTCATGCGCGTGCAGTCTGCTCAGAAATTGCTGACCCTAAATCCTAAACCCTAAACCCTAACTCCCAAACCCTAAACCGCATTATGGTGCCGACTCTTGGGTTGCAGGCGGCGGATAACATGCAACGTGCTTCATTGTTTGAATGTTAGTTACCGGGATTGTCCAAACGCCATCTCCCTTCAGGGCTTAGGCTTTAGGGTTTAGGGTTTTGAGGGAGAGTGTTCAGGGTTTAAGTAGGGCCTGAAGGCTAGCGGGCCTAAAGCCAACACCTGTGCCCGACACCCGGATTGGGAGGTTTTTGAAGCAACTCCCACCGAATCAGCATCCCGTAAACCCTAAACCCTCAACCCTAAACCTCAGATCGTATTTCTGTGTCCCTGGTTTGGGAAGGGCACCTTGTTTTGCGAAAATGCAAAGCAGTTCGCGGAAGCAATAATACCTGAACCCTTGAACTTTAAACCCTGAACCCTAAACCTTAAACCCTGTGATAGAAGCCTTAAACCCCAAAACTCTTAACCTTAAACCCTAAACCGTATAGCCTTAAACCCCTAAACACCGCGCCTCCATTCTAAAACCTGCAGTGTTATTTCTCCACATGGGGTTTGGAACGCGAAACCCCCAACCCATCAGTGCCATAAATCCAGCACCCAACACCCTAAACCCTACACTACACCCCTAAACCTAAAGACAGAAACCGTTCACTCAACTCTAAACCTTACACCCTAAACCCTAAACCCTAAACCCTGAACCTTAAACCCTAAGCCCTAAACCCTGAAACCTAAACCCTAAGCTCTAAACCCTGAACCCTAAACCCTAAGCCCTAAACCCCGAACCTTAGACCCTAAGCCCAAAGCTCTAAACCCCTAAACCCTACCCTAAACCCTAAACCTTAAAAGCCTCAGGTTCTCGAGGCGTGGCGAGCCGTAGGTAACCCTCCTCCCAGCAGCTGCCACATCTGCCTGAGGCAGAGATATGGTTTAGGGTTTAGGTTTTTAGGGGTTTAGGGGTTTAGGGACTTAGGGTCTAGGTTTTAGGGGTTAGGGTTTAGGGGCGTAGGGGTTTAGAGTTTAGGTTTTAGGGTTTAGGGTTTTAGGGGTGTAGGGTTTAGGGGTTTAGGGGTTTAGGGATTTAGGGATTTAGGGGTTGGGGTTTAGGGATTTAGGGATTTAGGGTTTAGGGGTTCAGGGGTTTAATTA